TCACCAGAGAAAGAGGACCACTGCCTTCTACAGGGTAAGTGCTCCAGGGGTTCACCATTAGGAGTACCTCAGGCCAAGCAATGGTAAGTGGTTCCCCTCATGTGTCCCCAAATGACCAGGGACCCTAGGGTTCATCCTGTATGGGGGAGACTGGAAGTCTTTGCCTATCTGGGAAGATGTCACTAAGCGATGAGTGCTTGTAGTCTGCAAAAGGCCCAGAGTTCACATGAGATTTACTAGAATAGCTAAGGACCCAAGGTGGGGACCTGGTGACATCCAGGTAGAGATAATTGCAAGTTAAGTGCATCCATAATCCTGGTTATCTGACATCCCTTCTCCATAGAACATTAATTCATGCATTCACCCAGTCAACAAATATTCAAAGTGTATCAGGTCCTGTGCCTGAACTGGAGCTACAGCATGAAACAAGTCAGTCCCAATTCCTGCCTTTTGGAGTTTATAGTCTGGTCAGGTGGGAGCCAGGAAGGAGCTGGCACAGCCGGGGCAAGTCACATAGGACTTTGTGGGGCTTGGGGTGGGTCACTTGTCTGAGACTGGAGGACAGAAATATGAATCCCTGGAAAAGCTCCCAAAGGCAAAGTCAAGTTGGCAATTCCCAAACCAGTTCAGGGAAACAAGAGACTGTTTAGACCACAGGCATCTAAGCATGGAGCCCAAACAGAGTGGCTTGGGTGCAGGGTGTGGGAAAGATGTTAGCTAGAATAGAAGGTAAAGGAGTTAGAGATGGGGCAAAAGGCATTATCTCCTCATGTGTGTTTGCGGACTCAGGCTGGAGAATGTTCCCAGGAGCATTTTGTAAGAGAAAAACTGGGAAAATCAAGCTTGTATTACCTATTAACAAGAATGAATAAATAAATTGTGGTGTTCTGAAATAATAAACGTTTCAGCAGAGCAAAGTAATAAACCAGAGCTACATATGTCAACACAGATAAATCACACAAACCTAACATTGAAGGGGGGAAAAAAAAACAAGCTTCAGCCAGATATGCATATTTTATGATACCATCGATACAAAGTTTGAAAACATGCAAAACAATTCTTATTGTTGTCCACGGATAAATGAATATGTAATAAAAGTCTAAAGTCATTTGTGGGAACAATAAAGCCTAAATTCTAGATCATGTTGATTTCTAGAGGATGGGGTGAGTATTGCCATGGAGAGAACTATGGAGGGCTTCAGCTGTATTTCCTAATCTGGGTGGTAGGTGGATGGCTGCCAGTTGTATTATTATTTATATGTTTCAAATATTGCATAATAAAAATTTATTTTAAAAGCTAACGTGAGGCAAATTATGTAAACAGGGAAAGGGAGGGTCTAATTCCTACCCTCCCTTTACTGCCTCTAGAAGTCAGGCATCACACTTGAGTCTCTTTCCAAAGCCTTACTCAGAGATGAAAAACAAGGTGGCTCCCATAGGGTGCCTACCGGGCCAGACCAGCTCCCTCTCCCTTACTCACCCCTCCGCCGGTGCAATGCAATGACAATGGACGTGAGGGACAAGGGTGGGACTTAAGCACTTATAATGACTCAGAAGCTGCTCTGAACTCTACCAGCTTTCTATCTACACAGAAAAGTGGGCTTGTGGTTAAAGGAGCTGAAGGCCATCACTACCCCAGCAATCTTGTCCTCTCACTGGTTTAACCAGTATGTCTGACCAATGCCACCCTGGCTTCCAGTTGTCCACTGATGACTCTTCCTCCCAGCCTTTTGCCCAAAACCCCCACTGTGTTGCCTCTTGATCCTGACTCTGGCCCCAGAGCCAAAAGATTTAACACTTGCTCACTGCACATGATCTCATTTTGGGGGCGTACTGGTGTAGTCCTGGTGTCTAGGATCCACTACCACCCCTAGAATTTTCTGCCCACAGTTCCTTCCTGGCATCCTATTTTCTTCCTCACCATTACCATAGCCACAGTACATCACTGAGCTGCTTCTGACATCCTGACCCCATGGAAGTAGGGAAGAGAAAACCTTAATGTCTTCCCTTTTCATCCATATAAGACAAGAACTACTTAGTCTCTACAGATGAGGAAATCGAGGCCAAAATATCTTGCTCAAGGCCACATAGCTAATAAAATGCAGAACTGGACTTCCAATATGTATGTTAATCTGATTCCAAAGCCCATGCATGCTCTTTACACCATATTAACTGCCTCTTGGAAGTTGACAAGCTCCGGCTCATTTTCACTTTGATTCGGTTGTCCCGTGGACTGGTTCTGGTGAATGTTCTTAAACCTGTTCTGTTAATGCTCTTTCTCTCATTCACTTCTTTTCAAGTGCTTTTCACCTGAGAAAGAGAAGTGGTGTGGAATCTCACTGTGCATCATCTCCCTTCCCTGCAATGACCTTTCATGGAGCACTTTGGAAAAGGCTGTCATGGGGCAGAGCTGCCAGGGATTCTCCCACTCCCCAGTTCCTGGCTGTGTAATGGGGAGATGCTGGATAGCCCCTAACTACTGCCACTCAAGTCTGCAGGCACCAGCCCCAAACCTGGGGACCTGCCTCCTACAGACCCCTGCCTCATTTTCACCTGCCAGGGACTTAGCAGTATTTCCTGAGGCCATTTAGATCTGACTCACTCATCCCCTCTTGTTTTTACATAGACTGCTCTCTCCTGCATGTGGTTATCACATCTTCATAAGGCCTCTAAGAAGTTCCAGACCATTGAATTATATGGAAAGACAAACTGGGACACAAAGAGGTTGAGACTTTATCTCAGGTTCTTTTTAGATTGGCAATGTAGACAAGGGCTGGATATTTAATTACCAAGGAGGTCTTGATCTTTAGGGATTGAAGTTGGTATTCCACTGAAGAGTACTCTTAAATAGAACATTTTAGGATTGAAGGATAGATGTGCAGTCATCTTCAGATCTATCCTTCATGGGAAGAGCTGAGGACAAGGTTGGAAAGTGCCAGGCAGGCTGATGGAGCAACTCAAGCTTCTGGCCCTAGTCCAGTATTTACTTGTCACCCACTGCCAAGAGGGATGGAAAGACTGCTAGCTCCTCCCAGCTGAGCCTGAAGTTTTCTCCTGGAGGCCGCCAAAGCCCACAGGCAGAAGTGGACATGGAAAAGGAATAAGAGTGGAAGAGTGGGGACTGGGTAGCCAAGCACCCCACTGTTTGGAGAGCTCATAGTCCCTCTGGCTGAGTAATCAGGGGCCCCAGCCCAGAATGGGGAGTGTGAATGTGGGGAATGGCCCATCACTCAGGGTCTATAAGAAGTTGCCAGAGTTTAGCAGAATGGTGGTGTCTTAGTCCACCGTAAGTATTCGTTTTCCTTCTTGGTTTGACTTACCTTATAAAGAAACCAAATGCTGATTTCTCCAAGGTATATGCTAGACAGACCTATGAAGGGAGATTTTCCAGATGGAGGGAAGGCTGGATAATTGGTTCTAACTCTACACTTTTGAGTTCCTCAAACCATCCCCCACCCTAGCCCCCTATACCACCACTGGCATGGTTGTCAGAGGATCTGATTCTTACTCCAGTGCACTTCCCATTACACCCTGTAGCCTCTCACCCATCAGAACATCAGGTCTGCAGCTGACTTACCAAATGACCTTGGACAAGTTACTTCATTTGTAAATAGAATAGGCACTGTGCTTCTCAACTGGTGCTTTCCTAGAGGCATTTGGGAATGTGTGGGCTCATGTTTGGCTGTCCCTGGGATTTATTTTCAGGGAAGAAAGACAGGGATGCCTAAGTCTCCATGCCATACAAGGGGGCCCCACACAAGGAGAAATCACATACCCCATTACCTTGGCATTCCACTTAAAATGTCAGTAGAGCTCTCATTGAATAGCACTGGTGGAATTGGTAAAGGCCCTTCCAGCTATGACTGCTCTGTCAGGTCTAGTGCTGTGAAGCTTCCATCAGACTATGATGTGATCTGTATGCCAGTGATGTGATGAGGCTCTAGTTCAGAGGCCCGAGGTGTGAGGTTAGTGAGTTCAGAACATTGTCCTGCAGGAACCGGGACAGCTGGGAATGAGCTGATTGAGAAGCTGCTTGGTATTAAGGGATGAATAAATTAACGCTGCAGCCTCGACTGCTGAACTCTCTGAAACCATGGCATAGAGAGTGATCTGGACCATCGCCCTGGGGGATGTCAGAAAAAGGCAGGTGGAGGTCACGGGGACTCTGAGAAAGTGGAGAGCAGATTTGAAGAGGTGTAAGATCAGAGTGGGTCTGAGGGGATGAAATTAGTCACTGAAGAGATAAGTTTGTGTGATCTTCTCTGCAGCAAATGGGGGCTTGGGGGCTGGGGGACTGGGGGACCTGGGGCCAAGCAGGGAGGTGAGGGAAGCATATTTTAAGATATAGAATCAATTCTGCATCTCTCCTTTTTAAATTCAGTTTCTTTTTCTAATAAATCAAGTGGAGTTGGAGTGCATGGGCTTGCCAGTCTGAAAAGAGCCTTTGGCTCATTAATTTCCATAGCAAAGGCAGGCAGAATACGAGAAACCAGATAATTTCTGAGACCAGAGGGGCCCAGGGCATGTTTTAACATCTGTACCCACCTGGCTATCGCCTTGGTATTTAAAAAGCCCTTGGAATTGAGCAAGGAGTTGCTAACAAGACATTGCATTTTTTATGACCATTTGGCATGTGCATACATGTCATAGTGTACCCTCTATGATGGCAAAACTGCTGTCTACCCTTCTTAACTCTGTATTTCAGCACCTAGGACAGCACCCACCACAGCGTTGGTTCTTTGTAAATATTGGTTGAATCAATGAATTAATGCATGCTGTGAGTATGGACTATACTATATCTCCTTTTGCTCCTGCATTCAAAAACTTCTCCCTGCTGTAGGAGATAAGGAATGAAGTAGAAGAAGGAGCACAGGTTTTGGGGTCCAACTGTCTTGTACTGTAAGCATAACTCAACCACTTTACCATTACTGTGACCTGGGCCAGTTACTTAAATTTTCCAAGCCTCATCTTAAAAGTGGTGGTGGTAATAATCCATTTTTCAAGGGGTTGTGCAAAAGGATTTAGTGAGCTAATGCATGAAGTACCTAAGATTTAGTGAGCTAATGTATGAAGTACCTAAGTACCTAGCACAGGATCTAGCACATGGCAACTGTTCAGTAAGTGAAAGCTGTTGGGGATGTTGTATGTTGCCCAGGGTCAGGGACAGGTGATTGAGTGGACTGGGGACTCCCCCGCATTTTTGCAGAAGCTGGCCTTTGATAGTATTCTTATCAGTCCAAGGCAAAAGGAGCAAAAAGCAGGCAATGCAGTGAGCATTTTATGAAGTGGAGTTTATTCCATTTAAAGGACAATGCTTTTGTATGAGATTTTTTTTCCCTCATAACTTTTATTTTGTTAAAATGTCATTGTTTTGTGATATGAGGGTAACACTAGAAGACAAGATTTAATAATATATTCTCACCTGGCAAAATAAAAGGTGGTAGCTTGATGCTGGTCCTCAAAAAAGGGAAATATTCTGTACATAACATACCAGTATCTAGAGATCACCAACTTCCATGACACTAATGTTGTCATCCCCCGGAGGTAGAGTGGAGAATGCAGGGAGAGTGCCTGAAGGAGCAGAAGGGACAGAAGAGTCTGTTGGCCTGGACTTTGAGAAGGCACTCTAAGGCAGCAGGAAGGACCTGAGAAAGACCTTTAAGCATGCTGGGATTTGTATTGGTGAATGAGAGTATGAGGGCATCCTAGGTAGAAGATACAGCATGAGGAAAGGCCCAGAGGCAGACATGAATGAGGTGTGATGAGAACTTAAATTGAGAGAGTTTGGGTCGTGGAGAAGCAAATGAGACCAGAAAGCCACTGGGGTTTCTTAAACAAAGGCTTCTGAAAGTGGGGTTAAGTAGGGCAGAGACTGAACATTTATTGCACTCTTACAGTATCTCTAATACTTGCTTCTACTCTGAAGCTATTATCTCCAATTTATATATAAAAATACTGAGGCTTATAAACAAGTTATCAGAGGTCATATTACCAGTAAGTGGCAGAGCCAACAATGTAGCAGGAGTGTTAAGACACAAAAAGTTTTGAGAAGAGAAAGTAAAATTTAGGTGGGAAAAGATACAGCAAATTCTAATTAGTGAAATTCTGGGCAGAGCCTTAAAGGCTGAGAGTAGGAACTCAGGTGAAAGTTTGAGGATGCATTCCCTCCCTTTGAGAAGGATTTTCAGGTAGTGGGTCCTAGATGCCATTCTCAGCACTATCCAATGACCCAAGGTCCCAAGAACATTGTCCTAATTTCCTGTCCCTGGGGAAAGCTCTTTCCAGCACCATCTGATGGCATCTACCTGAATTGCTGGCATAGAACCAAGGAGGAGAGGCATATCCTCTGGTGCAGAGCTTCTCTAAGTGTGGCAAAGAAATAATGTCTTGTTTCTGCCTTTCCTATCACTTCTAAGGATGTCTATCTATCTGTCTGTCTGTCTATCTATCTGGTGCCTAGCACAGTGCTTTAGTAGTTATCTGACAGCCATTATGTTCCTTCTTACCACTATGTCTGGGTGTTGGTTCTCAAATTTTATTGTGTGTCAAAATCCCATGTGGTGCTTGCTAATGGTATCCTCCCACCCCTAGGCTCTAATTTAGTAGATCTGGGGTGCATCTGTGAAATCCAGATCTTAATAAGCCCCAGGGAGTTTCCAGTGCAATTGGCCCCTGGAGCTCACTTAGGGAAGCTTGGCTCCAGAAGGTATGCATCTCTTCCTGGGCTCTATGCCAGTAGTTCAGGTAGATGCCAACACAGGGTGCTTCATTCCTTGTCTCTTGGCCTCTATTAAGAAGGAGGGAGTCTTCACCCTGGGAATGGGAGGATCTTCAACGAGCAGGGACTAATTTTTCCAGCTGATTCTGAATAAAGATCTACAAAAGCTGTCAGCCAGACCCACTTTATCACTAAAGCAGCTGCATGTCTGAATAAGCCCTGGCCTGGCAAAATAGGGCCCTTCTTTGCTGCTAATTCATTCAATGATATTGGGCAGGACTCTCTTCATTTCTCCATCCAGTTCCTGTGTCTGAAAACTGAACAGATTGGAGTAAATGAACCTAAGGTGCCCAGGTTCTCTGATGCATTTGTTAGCCTTCATAATTTCCTTCTGCCTCCCGTGAGGCAAGAGTTTCCCTCCACCTAGCCTACTTTAGAGGGGCTGCCCATCCTTACCTCTGCAGGTACCTCCCAGGAGAATGTGCTTTTGTGAGCCCAACATGGAGCCTCACATTCATAGAAGAGAAAATTAAGGAGATTTGGCTTAAGGTCATCGAGTTGGAAAGTGAGAGAAGCTCACCATTTGGTGGTGCCTGAAGCCAGCTCACCAGCACTGAGTTTGTTCCCCTTTCTCATTCACTGTGGATGCTGATAAGGATGTTTTTGAGTGTTTTGAGTTTAGCGCCAGGGAAGCTGGGCTGAGTTCATGTATAGCTGAGGGATCATGGGGAAATGGCCACCACATTGCACAAATCCAGGGGCGCAATTGACACTGCAACCTATAGGAAGGTGCTCCCTGGAGATGTATGGTAAGGAATCTGAGTGGTTTTATGTGATGTCCCTGGTAGTGCCTCAGAGTTTTGGTGGTATTTTCCTCTCCTTTCAAGAGGCTGTTAACGGTCCCTTTTAGAAACTATCTTTTCATATTACAGAACGCTAGGTGGATAGCTCTTGAATATAGCAATACCTATGGTAGAAATGTCTTCCATGGTAGACAAAGACAATATTCAGAGTCCATGTTAGCTAAGTGTAGAAGCCATCAGCTCAGGAGTTCATGATAGTGCATTTAAGTAGGGATACATCTTCCCTTTCTTACCCTACATGCAAGAAGTTGGCAATTTCCATATAAATTCTGGTGAAAGGGAAGATGCTTTTCCACTTTGCATGAAGCTGGAGGTCGAGGTCTTCCAGAAAAGCACAGCCTCTCAAATCGCTGATGCCCTTTCAGCCACCCAGGACTTGCTGTGACCTGACAAGCAAAAGAGCAGGGGTGAAAATCCCCTTATAACAATTCATGCCAGCCTGCCTTGTACAACCTTGAGAGCATCTCCTTAAATTTCTGCACCCTGGGTGGCTCACTCACCTCACTCTCGTCTCAACCCTGTGACATTTAAATCGCCTATTTGGGAGTCAGTCCTGTGTTAGGTATTAGGGTGCAGTAATCAAAAAAATATGGCCCTGACTACAAGGACTTGACCTACAACTGGAGAGGCCGTCAGGAAGCCCAGTGATCCTGACTTGCCTTGAGATACCCTAGGTGGAAACACAGAAGTTCCAATGGGGCAACAAGTGAGGTACCTGGTCCACCTGGGAGACTGAGAATCCTTCCCTGAGAGGAGATGGTTCTAGAGCGGAGACTTAAAAGGTAAGGAGGAGTTTGAAGGGGAGGGAGGAGGCGAGGACAGCATAGACAAAGGCCCCAAGGCAAGAGAGAGCTCAGTGTTTGGAAAACCACACATTGCTTAGTATGACTGAGGTGAAAATTGCATGGGCTTCATGCCGGGGGGAGGGAGTAGGCATTGGCCAGAGAGGCAAAGCGTGATGGAGCCTGCATTTCATGCAAAATTGTAAGAATTTCTATCCTGAAAACCATGGGGACCTGCTGAAGAATTTTGAGCAAGAAAATAACATGATCAGAATTGCATTTTAGAAGTATCACTCTGGTGGAAATGTGGAGATTCAACGGAGGTGAGAACAGAGACAGAATAAGCAGTTAGATCGTGATTGCAGGAGTCCAGGTGAGGGGTCCCAAGATGGAAAGAATCCAGTCCACTGTCATAACTCCCTTACCTGACTACTAGGCAGGAACATTTCCTCCAGCCTTCTCCAGCCCTGGCAGGGAAGTTTCCGTTATCTGGGTGAGGGTAAGCTTCTACAGGAGTCCAGGGGTGGAGATTTTGGGGGACTCTTTCTGCTCCATGATGTAGAACCTCTTGCAGGTCCAAGGTCTGCTGGGGTGGGAACAGATCGCTCCTTTCAATCCTGGGCTGAATGGAAGAGGGGCCCCTTTGGCCACAGAAAGAAGAGCCCCTAGGCTGCTCCTGGGAAATCTTTCTTTTAGGACGGAGCTTCTGCACTTACAGGTGAGAGGCACACAAAGTCTTGCGGGCTGCTTTTGTTTCCCCGAGTGCCCCAAGCCCTCTCCCCACGTTTCTATGGCAATCCCTTTGCATTGCTTTCCTCATTGCTGCTTCTAGATTGTCTCCCAGCACTTCCAGGGGTGCTAGGGAAGGGAGCTAATTACCTTGCTATAAATACCAACCAGAAGGAGCTCAGGGCCCCAGACCTGGCTTTCCTTTTTCAGTGCCTCTGTGCTGGGTTGGGCATTAGAGAGTGGGTAGAGTCTACACAGCAATCCATTGATATATTTTCTGTGTTCTTTCTCCCCCTCATGGGCTCAGCTGTGCTTACTTTCCTTCATTTAACAGGCGGAGTGGGAGCCAGGAAACAGTGGCATTGTGGGACATCCACAAAGTGCCAGGCACAGTGCTAGGCTCTAGGAATTGAGGGATGAATCAGAGCCTGCCTCTGCTCTCAAGGAACTCACTGTTCAGAGAGGAAGGCAGGTTTTCAGAAAATACTTGTGTTGAGAAATGTGACTCCCTGGGGAATGTAAGCCACAGGTTTACGTGGACCTAGGCTTCTCTAGGGATAGAGGGTTTTACTGAGAAGGTGGCTGGTGTAGCTGAACACTGAGAGTTGGTGAAATGGAGAGGCCAGGAGGAGGACATTCTGGACAGAAGCCGCAGGGGCCTAAGAGTCACAGAGATGCGAAGATGTCATCAGGGACTACAGCTGGCCCCCTGGGACTTTGACCCAGGATGTCCTGGAGGAAGGATGCAAAGTGTGACTGTGACCTGGCTCTGAGAGTCCTTGAGTGCCATGTTCTGGGGTCGCTGGGAGCCACAGAATGCTTTTCGGCTGTGATGTGGCCTGATAAGATGCATGCTTCTCCAGAGAGGCTGGAATGCACTCTTTCTGGTCACTTAGCTTCATTATCTCAAAAAGGCCAGCTTCAGGGGCTGGAGCTCAAAAGGAGGTGATGGCAGTGGACAAAGAATCTCAATGAGGATGCAATTAACATCTCACAAACAGGGCAGACATACAAACACCTCACTGAAGAGTAGAATTATGTGCAAGAGGGAGGGAGGCAAAAAATTCTTCCCCTAATAGCTTTCTGACTTTCATTAGTTCTGACAGTGAAGGCTGCGTCGTGGCTGTGTTCCATGGTAACCGTTTCCAGAGCAGCACCGGAGGAGCGCAGGTTCTGAAGACTTTCAATCAGTCCCAAAGCTTAGCCAGACAAAACGTCGTGTTGCTGGCTTTACAGCCTCCGCTGGCAGCAAAGGGAGAGGGTATGATGTGAGCAAACATTCCCCTAGGTTATTGCAGGGACTCTCATCACAAGGAGCATGAGCATAGCTGCCTCCCGGGGCTTGATCACAGGAGAGAGGCCCAGGGCCACAGGTCCCTGCACTGCAGACCAGAGCATGTGGCTGCAGGAGAGGAATGAGGCAGAGAAAGCAGAGCTAACCACAGCGGATTCCTGGCCTCTTTCCCATCTCCCTGAGAAAGATCAGCATGTCTCCACTGTGGCTCCGTGGGTAACACTGGTAGAGAGGAAAGAGGAGGCTCTGGAGCCAGATGGACTGCATCCAAATCCCAGGTACTTCCATACTCACTGGACCGTTTTGGGCAACTTACATCACTTCTCTGGGGTTCACCTCCTTAGTTATCACTAGCAATATACAGCGTTTTCAGGAGGCTAGATGAGATGGCCTGTGAGAAATGCCCAGCTGCAGAACTGGCCTGTGGCAGGTGCTGATCTTGTGCTGAGCTGGCCGTAACAGTACTGCCTGCTCTCTCCTCCCTCCTCCTTCCTTCTCACTTTTCCAGCCCTGCTTCTGTGCCCTTCCCACTCTTCCTCTCTCACTCTCTGACTATAACACAAGGATGTTGAAGATGTGAAGCAAGCAAGTGGCTTTGCTCTGAGCCTCTGGGAGTCAGAAAGATAAACCGGATTTTGGTGCCCTTAGGGCTGTAGCTCTGCACCAGACAAAATACATGAGTTTCGGGGCAATGGAAGCACATATGAGGTTGGGTGACCACAGGGAAAGGCAAATGATAAGCCATGAGAGCCCTCACAGCTCCATTCTTCATAACAACAATTATGTATGGAAGACCTACTATATTCTGAGATGCTTCTCTAGGTACCCGGGATATGCTTTCTTCAGGAAGTTGCCTACCAGCAGAGAGAGGCTGGCCATAAAATACATATACAATAAAAGGCAGATACGAAGGTAGAAAGTGACAGCAGCTTGGAGAAAGGAAAAACAGCAGAGTGGAGGGAGAGGGCATTGGAAGTGTTGGTGAGTGAAGAGGGCTGTGATTTTAATAGGGTGGGGACAGTAGGCCTCATGGAGCTGGCAGCATGTGAGCAAAGACTTGAAACGGGTGAGGATGTCTGGACGAAGAGCATCCTGAACCAAGGCAACAGCCAGTGCAAAGGCTCTAAGGAGGGCATGTGACTGGGATGGCTGAGGAATGGAAAGAAAGCTGGGGAGGAGGAAGGCGGAGAGTAGCAGGAGATATCACATGGTGATGGGGGCTAGATTGGGTGGGCTGTTGTAGTTTTTTCTCCATAAGATGCCATAAGTACTGCCAGGAGTCAGGAAAGGCTAATGGTTTTCAGCTCCTCACTTCCTCCCTTCCCCTCCTCCAATTAACTAGAGCAACTACCTTTATTATCTATTTCATGTGTTGGAATCTGAGGTAAGAGATTATTATTATTATTATTATTATTTTTGAGACGGAGTTTCACTCATGTTACCCAGGCTGGAGTGTAATGGCACGATCTCGGCTCACCACAACCTCCGCCTTCTGGGTTCAGGCAATTCTCCTGCCTCAGCCTCCTGAGTAGCTGGGATTACAGGCATGTGCCACCATGCCCAGCTAATTTTTTGTAGTTTTAGTAGAGACGGGGTTTCACCATGTTGACCAGGATGGTCTTGATCTCTTGACCTCGTGATCCACCCGCCTCAGCCTCCCAAAGTGCTGGGATTACAGGCTTGAGCCACCGCGCCCGGCCGAGATTATTTAGATAAAGCTTTCTGCAACTTAAAAAGTGTTTGAAACCTACCGATTGAGTCTCGTATCACTGGGGAAACAGGGTCTCAGAAAGGGCCAGTGACTTATCCACGGCCACACAGCCAATTATCTGGAAGAAATGGATCTCAAACCTAGGACCTTGGGAGAGGGCTTTTTCTATAATCTTCATCAGAGCCATGGGCGGTCTTGGGAGTTGGCATCAGGGCTTGTGACACACAGACCACCTGAAGTTTAATCAGCAGGATGCCCAGGCCCTCCACATTCCAGCTCACCAAGCCTATGAAGCTCTGCCCGGGCTGCTGACTTCTCCTCTCTCACAAGCACATGGTCCCTTCCCGGAGCAACTTTTTCCTCCTCTTGAAAGCCTCACTCTGATTACTTGGGCCAGCAAGGCACCCATGTTTGAAACTTTATAATGCTTAGAGCTACAGTGGCCCTGAAACAAGTAATACTGCCTTCCTAAGCAGTGTTTTCTGCTCTGTAGGTGCTAAATCAAGTTACCTACCCACAGGGCTTGGGCCAGAATGGAACTTAATAATATATGCTATATCTTGGGATAGGGTCTGCCATGGGAGAGGTGGTCAGTGAATGTTATTAAGAAAATAAATTATGACAGTCTTTGGAAAAGTACACTTCCAAAGACAGACCTCCTAGCCCTATCCACAAAGAGAAGGTGCTAGAGCAGAGTGGTCAATAGTGTAGGCTTTGGAATCAAAATGACCTAGGTTTAAATCAAATTTCTTAACATGTCAGAGCCTCGGTGTCTGCATTTGTTAAATAGCAATAATAACTAGATTTGGGGATCATTAGAATTACACTACATGCAATGTTCAGTAGTTTAGCCCTTAGGATAGAGCCCTAATGGAAACACAGGGACGCTAGGCAATGGTTCTCAAAATGCAGTGTGTATCACCATCCTCTGGAGGTCTTGTTAAAATATAGGTTGCTGGTTCTCACATTCCAGAGTTTCTGATCGGTGGGTCTGGGGTGGGGCTTGAGATTTTGGCATTTCTAACAAGTTCCCAAGTGATGCAAAGGCTACTTGTTGGGAGATGAAGCCTCGTCTTGGTCTAAGAGCCAGTGTCTTAAACCAGGATGACGTTTGTGGGGAGAGAAGGAACTAAAGGCCATATATTGGCTGCATGTGCAGACAGTCCAGATGGAGAGAGGCATTTGGAGCCTTACCCAGAAGGAGGCCTGTTCTTCAGCCCAGGGAGTCAGCTGACTTCACACACCTGGGTGGCCAGCTGCTCTCCCTTTACTTCATCACAGGCACTGAGATTCACAGTCCAGTGAGAGGCAGCCAGCAAATAGCTCCTTCCCCTCCCACTGTGCCCCCAACCCTCGTTTCTTCTGACTGGATAACTTTTGACCTCTAGATGGACAAGCTGAGTGAATTATAAGATGCTAATAGGGAAAAGAGAGAAAATAGAAAACAAAATAGAGA